ATTTATATATATATAGAAAAAATTCCATTCTCTATTCAAAATCAGACTCAATTTAAATTAAATTTCTGAGCACCGCCCATTGGTGTTTCGCTTCTTGTTTTTGCTCGTTTTTTATCGTTTTGAATTTCTCTTTGTGAACATCATTCGGACATTTGGACTCGGGGAGCAGGACCATGTTCGATACCACGCTGGGCATGCTGGTCAGTTGGCTGGCACAGGGCATTTGCCTGCTGCTCAGCCAGGCCTGGCAGCATCCGCTGATAGCCACCGGCGTCTGCCTGCTGCTCAGCTTCTTCAACCAGGCGGACGAACAGCTGCGCAAGGAACTGGGCGACGAACTGCGCGAACGTTTCCAGGGCTTCAGCAGACTCTACCCCTTCTCGTATCTGTGGCGCAATGGCGTCAAGGGCGTGGCCGGCAGCTTTGACTATACCATAATGCACGGCCCGCACACCTGGACCCAGTCGGTGATCAATCAGAGCCCCGTCAACATTGACGAGCAGGTGGTGCAGCGTCTGGCCATACGCGAGCTGCTCAACTGGAACCACTACGACGAGCTGCCGGCCAGCATTGTGCTGGAGAACACCGGACAGACGCTGCTGCTGCGCGCCCAGTTTCGCAGCAATGTGCCGACCATCAGTGGAGCCGATCTGCTGGCCAGCTACACCTTTGTGGAGCTCTGCTTCCACTGGGGCTGGTCGAACAGCGAGGGCTCCGAGCACACGCTCAATCATCGCAAGTTTCCGCTCGAGATGCAGGTGCTCCATCGCACCGGGGCCTCGGTGCGTCGCAACAGCTCGAGCAGCTACGATCTCCTGATGATCGCCTACGTCTTCGAGTTGTCCGCCCACAATCCGTTTCTGGATCCACTCATGCAGAACCTGAAGCTGGTGCAGCAGCCCGGCAAGCGTGTGCACGTCGCACCCTTTCCGCTCTCCTATCTGATCTACCCGTTTCGCACGGGCTTCTACAGCTACGGCGGTTCGCTGACCCGGCCACCGTGCTACCAGGGCACGGAGTGGTTCATCTTTCCCGAGTCGCTGGCCATCAGCGACTTTCAGCTGCGTCACTTTCGCCAGCTGCTCAGCGCTGACGGCGTCACGCCCATTTCACGCAACTCACGCCCCGTGCAGCAGCTGGGCAACCGGATCATCAATCTGAACTACTTCTGTCCATACGACGCCACTCAGCTGGCGCGCATGCGCATCGAGGTGCTGCAGCAGCAGCAGCAGGAGCTGGACGAGGAACAGGCGCAGTCACAGTCTCAGCAGGATCAACAGAAGCTGCTGCAGCCGCAACAGCAGCAGATGCATCAGCCGCAGCAGGCGGCCAAGGTGCACGAGATTAAGGCCACTGTGATCCCCAACTCGGATGATGAGGGGCAGCTGATCGAGACGCTGGACACCACCACCACCATAACCACCAGCTCCAGTGCCAGCATCTGCACCACTGTGCTCAAGCGCGACAAAGCGGCCAATGCGCAGCAGCCGGAGCAGCAGCAGCAGCAGCCATCGTTGCAATCGTGCTGTCCCAACTCCATCATCTTCTTCAGCTCCAACAACAAGGGCAACAGCAACTCCAAGAGCAACAACGGTGTGACCTTCAGGAACCTGGAGAAAACTGGCAGCGAGGGCGACACCAGCCTGATCAACAAGTGCCACGGACACTATCAGCTGGAGCAGGCCGAGGATCTGATGCTGACTGTGCCCAGCGCAGTGCCCATGTGCGGCATGGGCGATGGCCTGGGCGTGGGCGTGGCAGTTGGTGGCGGCACAGTACCGAGGGTACAGCTGATCGAATAGATCGCCGACACATGGCCAAGTGTTGGTTTCTTTAATTTACTTTTTTTTTTATATAACTCATTTGTATGTGAATGCTTTGACCTTGTTCAATCAGCCAGAGGAACAGCAGGTGGACGACTCAGCCAAGCGGAAGTCCCCTTCCCACACAGAATATTGTAAAGTAATTGAATTGTCTGTGCGTGCATTAAACAAAATGCGTTTGCATATTCGAAAAGCATAAACAAAAGCCGCATTAACTTATTGGCCTTGGCGTGTGCAAAAAGCCACCTGGAGCGCCGATTAGGTTAGGGATTAGGTGCTGCCAAGGCCCTGGGCGACGAGCTGGCATCGCCCAAGTATAATTTGTAGCTGAAAGGCAGTAAAATAGTGTATGAACGACTTTGGCATACCACGCGCTTTACATGCCAAATTATTTGATAATGCTCGGCCATTTCACGTTGCTTCCTCGTTCACTTGTCAATTGTAAGAGGTGGACTGCCTGCGATAGGCCACGGTACTGGCCAATATCGATAGTATCGAAAGCTTTCAATTGCAATGTCAATGGGAGTGATCAACATTTTGACGATGCATGGCGATAGCACGCACGAGCTGTGCTGTTAAATTGATTAATCAATAAACTTCACATACATACTTTAAAAGGAGAGAAGACAAGCTTCATTAAATCTCAATTATTTCTCTTTTGTGTTGGTAAAACAATAATTTGATCGACTCTTACAAACTATTGTTACTCAAGAACAATTTATAACAGTGCGCGTATTATCATACGAATTGGACAGTTTTTATCTGCAAGTGCTAGTGCAAAATGTCAGCTCCTATGGAATTTACAGTAATGGACGACTTCCAAGACGTAAGTTGAAACCAATTTTTGTAAAATACAAAGCTCACTGCTCAACAAAAACAGACAGGCTGAAAGGATTTGCGCAGTTGATTCTGCGAATGGCAAGCCCTACAGCAACTTGCAGAATATGTCTCTAAATAGAAAGAGAACAGCGCGAGAGAGAGAGGGAGAAAGTTGGTTTTTATGTAGCTGCCGCCTGTCAATTCCTTATGAATTTCGCCCTCTGGAAATATGAATATTAGCTGTTCTTTAATATGAGTGTCACGTCATGATGAAATTTCAAAGAGCGCCTCGACTGACAACAAGGCAATCAGCTCGAGCCTGGCCTTGAAAAACTTTTAGCCTTGTCTTCAGGGGAAGAGAAATGGGAGAGTAGCACAGAGCCGAGCAGCTTTGGCTATTTCAACATTGAGTTAAGAGTGACTTTTTTTCCTTTGCTATTTACACAACATTGTGTCGATAATTTGTTTGTACGAGAAACTGCATACAACATTTTGCCCCCCACACACACACAGACACACGCTCGTGGTTTAAATCAAAAGTTCTTTCCGTCATCGTCAAGTCCCCTGGCAAAAGACACAGCTCCATCTAGCGGTGAGTGGCGGCGCTGGCAGCGGGGTCGGCGGCTGTTGAGAGGCTCTTGAGGCGCATCACGAAGACAGGCATAAACGTGTACGGACATGCACAAGCAGGCAACGACAAGCAGCGACAGTCATGTTCAAGTAAATAAGTGCAGGCTGTTATCAGAGCGTGCTGCGTGCTTTTTATCTGCCTCGCCAAGCTCGTTCGCTTGGTAATTATCGATTTTTTTACACAACACAGGGTTGACTGTTACTCGTCGTTGTTGCTGTTGTTGTTGTTGTTAACTTTGTTGTTGTTGATGTTCTTTCATGTTTCAAATTTGTAAGCAGCTCCCCGTGAAACAACAATTAAGCAGCTGTTGCCAATTGCCAGCATAACCTGTGGGCCCGTTGTTTAATTATTGATAACAAATTGCGGCATCGCATATCGCAAAGCAAATACCAAATGCCAGATACATTTATTCTCTATGTAGTCCGTGTGAGTGTGTACGTGGGCTTCGAGTGGGTAGGTGTATCTGTATTGGTGCGTGTATTTGTTCAATTATGCACAGCAGTTGTAAATTTCTCAATCAAAATGTTGGCTATTTCAAAGTTTTCGGCTATTTAGACAAGAATACGCTGGTAAGCGTGAGTGTGTATTGGTTGAGTAGGGCCTAAACCTTCCATTCGGCCAATAAGTGCCCATAAAGCGCGCTAATTGGACATAAATTCTTATTTATGCTTTTAAAGGCTTGTTTTAAATTAGAAAATATATCGATAATGCTTTGATAACATTTAATGTTAACCACTTTGGCGTTTAATATTTCAAAGGTTTCTGAGCGAGCAGCAGTTAAAATTTTTAATAATTTAAAATATGTAGGTGGATACATACTCATACATATATACATTAGTATGTAAACATTGTATATATGTATGTATATAGTATTTACATACAATCCTGCGCTTTAAAACGTACTTAAAAATACCAAAAAACTAGCTGGACACTTGTGTATATTTCATTAAAGCCTTGCTGAGTGCACAGCAAACTTAATAATCTTCGCCATTTGAGACTGCTCAATCAATCAATTTAAAAAGTTCAGATGGTCTTAGTGTGCGCTTGTAATCCATCATTATGTGAAATGATATCACTGCGAGAGCTGTCTATGGGTAAAAGAGTTTCAATTTGACGTCATCTGAAGGACAGGAAATATAAGTACAGAAATACATACATATAGGAAGTATGGAAGTTTTAACAGATTCGGTTTTTAGTTAACCTTCAGCTATTGTTGTATTGTGTGTGTGCAACCAGGTGGCAGTGGCAGCCATCAGCCACAACAATACAATCAAATCATTTACTGCGTGCATTTGGCATTGACAACATTCGCCGTCCAACTGGCCAAACAAACAAACAAACAAACGGAGAAGAACTAAATAAAAGCTGATATCAAAACACGGCGAGTTCTCGGTCTGCCTCTGCCCCATATTGTTGTTGACATGTCCAGCACGCACATGCATGGGAGTGCGTATGTGTGTGTGTGTATKTATGCATATACAAATTTATATGTACATAAGTAATGAGTGCCATGCGGCGTATACTTATTGTTACGGGCAATGCAAATGCACTTACTGTGACTTAGTCTTGAGGTTCTTGCGGTTATTCTTTCCTCTCTCTGTTTCCCTCTATCTTTGTTGTTGCAACTGCTGCTGGCTATATGTGTATGAGTGTGAGGATGTGTGTGTGTGTGTATGTGTGGGAGAGGGCTCGTATTGCGCCGGATGCCTGCGGATCCTGGGGTAATTCCTTAAGTGCTGCGACTGTTCCTTCTGACCAACTGCTGCTGCTACTGCTGCTGCTGCTGTTGTTGTTGTTGTTTTTTGTTGACGTATGCGTGCGCTTGTGTGTGCGTGGGTGTAAGCGCTTTTCTGTTATTTTTCACACATATACACAAATCGATATTGCGACTGCGAGTTTGCTTTTTCGCTCTAATTTCTGCTTTTTCTTTTGTAATTTTTTTTGCCGTTTTTTTTTTTTTTTTTTTTGTTAGTGGTATTGGCTTTGGGGTTTGTGGCGTGCAGCACGGGTAAAATTTAGCCTTGGCACTGGTCTCGAGTTACCACTGCCTGCTGCCTGCTGTTAGAAATTTTTGCGCTTTTTTGTTTACGACTGCGATTATTCAATCAATTATTCAGCGTTTTACGCGCGTTCGTCTCGCCCGATACAAGTGAATTATTCATTTAGTTGCAGGCGTCAGGTAAAGTGTTTCTTCTATTCTGTTTGTTTTTTTTTTCTCAACTGATTTTCACCTTTTTTTCCTGTGTGCTTCGTTAGAATTTGCTGTCGCTCTGTTGTACACGTCGTTACAGGACCACGAATGAGGCAGAAATTTTCCTGCAGCTACGCATGTGTCTCTGTTTGAGTGTGTGTGTGTGTGTATGTGTGTGTGTGCGGCGAATTGACTAGCGCGGCGAATATAAGCGTTTTGTATACGTTCTCATCATTTGAACTGTTTCAATCGTCCAGCTGCTGTTTCTTTCTGCTCCAGTGGTGAAAATCGATGCCTGACGGGTTAGTTGTGTGGGCGAGCGAAAGCTTTCGAGCTTTCCATTCATGCGGCGCAATTGCGCACTGCGCGGTGAACAGCAAGCATTGCCCAACACTGAACGTAGATATCGATAGCCCCAGCAGTGCGCGCGAGATTTGAACATTTGTTTATTTTAACTTAATCTTATCGCAAAAATTGTAATTGATTTATGTCTTCATGGCGAGCTCGTATTTTGATTATTTTATAACGCCAAATGCAATCAAAATTCGCGTTTATGCAGGTTAAAGTTTGGAGAAAAATCGTATTGCACATATAAACATTTTAATTATTAACAAATCAACAATACAATAAAAATCCCGCTACAGTTTGCTATTGCCAGCAAGCACATCACGCACCACCTTCACCGCATATTTGGCAGTGCCCGGTGCGGTGGTCACGCCATAGCCGCCGTGTCCATAATTGTGCACCACCTTCAGGCGACGGCCCTGAGCATTTGTCAGCAGCTCCGGCTCCACACGCACCACCGAGCGGTGCGGGCGTAGGCCAACACATTCGCGTACAATTTCCGCCTTCTTCAAGCTGGGCAGCAGATCATAGCAACGCTCCTTGATGGCCATGCTGTCGTACTTGCACCACTCGGTGTTGTAGCTGTCGTACTGCCGGCAACCACCCAATGTGACAGTCTCAAAGCCGGGCAGCACATACGTATCGAAATCCCCATAGAACGCCGTCTTAATCCAGGGCGCGCGCACCTTCAGCACCTGTCCGCGAATCGGCACCAAATGCGGATCATTGCACAGCTCCTTGGCGCCCATGCCGGTGCAGTTGAGCAGCACATCAATATCCTGGGGCACGTCGAACAAGCTGCTCACATGCTGCCGCAATACTCGGCCGCCCTTCGACAGGAATCTAAACGAGAATAATATGTAATCACGGCCAACTATAGATTCAAATCGAATTTACTTCTGGGTGGCATAGGGCAAGAAGAGACGACTCTCCGTTAGGCAGGTGGTAAAGAAGGAGCCATACTTCCAGCCGCCCTGGCACAGCTTCAGCTCCTCCTCTGTGGCGCGTCGATAAACGGGCAGCAGTTGCTCTATAAAGTGATTCTAGATAATCACACAGTAAACATCATTAGTGGCAATCAAATTATGTGATAAGAATAATTGATTAGGGCTCTGGGCAGCCAGTTCAGCCGTAGACCTACCCGCACAATGGAAGGTGTGGTGCGTGAGTATATATAGCCGGACAGTTGACAGACGCCAGCT